GGAATCTACAACAATGTTTGTTAAAATCCTTGCAATATACATTGATGACCTACAGGGGAATGTTTTTTTCTTAACAAAAGTGGAGTTACTCTTTAAAGTGGTTGTAAAGGAAAATTTTAAAATAAATAAATACCATGTCTATACTTTCCTGCTCTGTGTAATAGAATTGCACAGAGCAGCCCCAATCCTCCTCTTCTTGGGTCCCCCGCCAGTGCTCCTCCCCTCTTGCTGGTACCCCAAATAAGAAGTTGGTTCCCATGGGGGCACTCATGTGGACTTGCTCCCGAGTCCTGTTGCTGCATCCATTGACACAGATAGTGGGACTTGGTCCGGTCCCCAATCTCTCATCACTGGAGTTTATTGACAATAGCGGGAGCCAATGGCTCCTGCTGCTATCGATCTGCCTAGTGAGGAGGGACAAAGCCAGGAGAGCAACAGCTCTCATGCACAGTGCTGGATTGCAATGGGACTCAGGTAAGCACAAGGAGGGGCAGGGGAGGTTCTTTTACACAGGAGTTTTTTTTATACCTTAACCTCCCTGGTGGTATTCCCAAGTGTAGCTCGGGGTAAAGTTTCAGTACCACAAGCAGTAACCCCGAGCTACACTTGGGCTTACCATGTGGCGCTGCTCCACGATCCCTCGATCACTTACCTTGTCCTGCACTCCCATGATGTCCCTCCTGCAGTGTCCCCCGGCACTGTAATCCGGCGGATGCCGGGCATCTGTCATCTGGGTTCCGTCCCCTGCAAGCGTCGGGACGTACGGGGGATGGAACGGCGGGAAATTTGAAAATGACAAAAAGTGACATTCACTAAAATCACTAAAATCACATAGTAAAACATTACTGTATCAAATCATTTCACATACATTTTGTCCCGAGTGCTTTGTCCTGTGCCCTGCCTGCATTTTTACTGTTCTTTCTGCCTGGAAACTGAGAAACGTCCATGGCATCCAAAAAGCGTTCCTTTAGGTCAAAAGTGGTTTCAGACCAGCTAGAGAACAGCGATAGTAAATCAGAACTACTTGCAGAATTGAGTGATAATGATTTGTGGGGAAATTCGTCATCAGACACTGAAAACGATTTTGCGACTTTGATCAGTGATGTGCCAACTTGGCGCTATTTTGCAAATTTCAGGGTTTTTGGTTTGATTATATTATTAAATTTATTATTATATTATTATTTTTATGATTATTTATTAAATTATAATTTATGATTTCGTGTTTCAAATTTTAACATACCCGGGATGTTTACTAGACTCTTGTTCGGACAGATTTCAGTGAGTTATTCCTAAAAATTACAGGCCTACAATGAAAAATCTACATATTTCCATGCAAAAAAATGTACCGCTTTGAGCACAGAAATACTGACATAATCAGACCGCTAGGGAGGCTACAGTAGAAAACCTTGAGGTTTTAGAACCACTTTAACATCCATATTAAAATGATATTAAACCTAAAAGCAACATTTTTCTCTTTCAGCTTACCAATTCTTAGGTGTGATGGCTGCATTCATTTTCTCTTTTAGACTTTCTTTCTTTTATTTTCACCTGGTGATCCAGCCAGTTATCTGCTGTTTTTCAAAAGAACAAGCTCTCCAGCAAATGTATCAGTTACAGGAGACAACACATTTAATACTGACAGGGGAAGTTACAATGACCAATTTCATTTATTTATGTAAAACCTTTATCCCAGATGAAAAAATCTGTTTGCTGTAACTGATTATAAAGTATTAGCTGAAGATTGGCTATGCTAGTGCATCCAAAAAATTCTCCCCCCCCCCCCCCCCCAGACTGACAATGCATCTATGCAAATTTATCTCCTGTGGTCCTTCATCCAGAGTGGGGGCACTCAGTGTTTTACTGGCCAAATCACCAGATGAAAACACAGGGAAAAGCTTAAAAAAGAAAATGAATGCAGCCACCACATCTAATGATTGGTAAGCTGCAATGAATTAAATTTTTGGTATTGGGTTTAATACCACTTTAAGCTCTTTCACTTAACTTTGCAAATCACATTATAAAATGAAATATGAAGAATTGATGGCAATATTAATGAATTAAATGTTATTTTACTGATGAATCTAGCAGCATTATCACAGGTGATCATGTCAGTTCATATGCTAATGTTATTTTGCTATCTATTATACAGTATTTTATATTGCTATAATATCACTGTTTGAAAATGGAAAGCAATATGTTATATAGTTAATACATTTTGTTACCACACTCTTTTTTAAAATATGTATTTCTTTTCTGACTTTTTCAGCAAATTTGTTACACTTTTTCAGTCTACTCTATACAAATAATTGTTCAGATATGTAATTAAAATTATGTGTTCTTGCTTGTAATTTATTAGCCGCTATTCAGAATTACGCAGAGCTTGAGAGTTTATTTTATTATTATCATCATGTTCATGTATGCACCATTACTCTGAGAGTTACAATAATTGTGCTTCTTGAGAAGCATGAAAATTTGATAATTAATTATTCTGTGGACAGAAATACACTTTTATAATATTCTGGGAGATAAAACGCTGTTGTATAAAATGCTCTTTTATAAGTTTATGACTATGGCACTCAGTTAAAGTTATGTTTAATAGCCGTTTCTATTGTAAGTTTCAATCAAATTATTTCCCTCCCTGATCCAAAATAGGATCTTCAGTTTAGTGCAGTAAAAATTTTCAGTTAATAGGTAGTGCACAAAAAAACACACACACACACACACACACACACACACACACACTTCTTCTGTTCTAAATAGAGAAAAGGAAAAGTCTATATGATTACAACAGTTTTCTGTTACTACACTTTGCATTTTATTATCAATCTTGAACTGCCAATACTAACCCAGTGGTATATGGACCACTAGTAGTCTAATCACAATTTGGTTCATGCCTGTTTTAACTCATCTGGGCAAACATTATTAAAGCTGAAATCCAAACAGATATGAAAAACCCTAGTTAATGAATTTATTTTATGTATTTATTAAATAACATGCAAACAGGAGACAACAAAGTGACCAGGGTGCCACTGTTCTTCCATTGACTAATACAGTAGGTGCTAATAAACAATGTATAATACTGCTGTTAAGAGTAGAGATGTGCACAATGAAAATAAAAAAATTGTTTTGTTTTGGATTCATTTGTTAAGTCAATAATTTTTTTTGTCAGATTCGCTATGTTATTATTTGTTTTCGGAATTAATTTCATATGTTCAAATTTATTTTGTATATTCGTTGTTGCGAATCAATTTGTATTTTCAGAAGTTATTTCGTAAAATTTGGATTCATTTGTTATGTTGTTATGTTATTTCCGTGACTTGCTTGCGGTTTCGATGCGACTTGTTTATGATTTTGATGCAACTTGCTTGCAATTTTGATGCAAATTGCTCTTTTGTTCTTTGATGCAACTTGCCTGTGATTTCAAAGCAACTTGCTTGCAACTTTGGCCAATTATAACAATACAGAGCGTGACACATATTGTTGAACTTACAAAATCCCCTGAAGTTGCAAACAAATGAAATGAATGAATACGGAAGAATGTGTTGCTTTCCTTATAACTTATTTCAGATTTGTTGAAATTCGTTACTATTGTGATCCGGAAATTCGGATTCATCTGAATCTCTGAATAAAAAAAGTTTTGTCCGAATGTTGATTGTGCCGAAACTAATTGCACATGTTAAGTTAAGAGCATGTCTGTTTCTTTCTGACAAAGGTAGCCATATCAAAAAATTAGCTGCATAGAATTAAAAACCCTTTGGTAGATAAGAAACATACGCATTGAAGATGCTGTTTTCTGCGTGCTTGGGGTTTAGCATTGAAAATCTCAAGATCTCCTTCCCCTGAGGTTCCAAGCAGTAAGGTGTGAAGGTCACCTAGGACAAATGTGGAGAACAGCCAGTGTAGATGGAACAGCAAAACTTGTGGTGGAGCTAGGACAGGCACTACAAGGAAACTGCTGGGGAATGCAATTGGTAAGAGCACAGTGAGTACACTTACTTTTTCACTTTTAATTTAAATATGTATATCTTTTACACATTATAGCTTCAATGTTTATCACAGCCTAATTTTTTTAAGTACATTTATAGGAAAATATATGAGAGGTAACTAATGCATACAGGGGTGATTTTTTTTTTCTCCAAAAAGTTGTCAAGTAGATAACAAAATAGAAATGGCCTACTGCGCTGTAATTATTGCAAAAATATGTTGTTACCTACAACAACAATTAGATTTCATTGATTTTTGTATTTTCAATGCAAGGGTTAGATCACATTTGCGAACATGTTCGCCCATACACTGCAGCAGCTCAGCCACATTACAATCCATTCTTCATTAAATACAAGAAAGTGTTTCTTTGTCATTCTATAACTGTAAGCCATATACAGCCTCTCTAGGAGAGTAGGTGCCCTCCTTCCCCACACTGTCACTGATCTGCTTTAACCACTCGCCTACTGGGCACTTATACCCCCTTCCTGCCCAGGCCAATTTTTGAGCTTTCAGCGCTGTCACACTTTGAATGACAATTGCACGGTCACGCAATACTCTACCCATATGACATTTTTATCCTTTTTCGAGACAGAGCTTTCTTTTGGTGGTATTTAATCACCTCTGGATTTTTTTATTTTTTGCTAAACAAACCAAAAACCACTAAATATTTTGAAGAAAAAAGGTTTTTCTTAGTTTTCGTTATACAATTTTGTAAATAAGTGATTTTTTTTCCTTCACTGATGTGCGCTAATGAGGCTACAGTGATGGGCACTGATAGGCTGCACTGATGGACACTGATAGGCACTGATGAGGAGGCACTGGTAGGTGGCAGTGATGGGCATTGACAGGCATCACTGATGGGCACTGAAAAGCAGCACTCATATATGGCACTGATAGGTGGCACTGATAGGCAGCACTGACTGGCACTGATAGTTGGCACTGACTGGTACTGGTAGGTGGCACTGACGGGCACTGATAGGCAGCACTGATGCGCACTGATAGGCAGCACTGATTGGCACTAATTGGCAGCACTGATAGGTAGCACTGACAGGCATTGATAGGTGGCACTGACTGGCACTGATAGGTGACACTGAAAGGCAGCTCAGATGGGCACTGATATGTGGCATTGATGTACACTGGTAGGCACTGATATGTGGCATTGATGTGGCACTGATGGGCACTGGCAGGTGGTATTGATGGGCACTGACAGCTGGCACTAATGGACACTGACAGGTGGCACTGCTGGGGCTACACAGATCATCAGGGCACACTGATCATCAGTGCACATGTCCCCGCTGAGTAATGCTGATTACCGTCTCTCCTCTCCTCACGAGCTGTCAGCATAACTGGCATTTCCCTATTTACATGTGATCAGCTGTGATTGGACACAGCTGATCACATGACCGAGCCGATATCTTAGGCTCTTTCTGTTGATCGGTGATCCGCTGTGTCTGAGGGACACAGCGCACCACCGATCGCCACAATGCACACTGCCTGAGCCGTGGATACGTGGTTAGAATGGGAGGACAGCATATGACGTCCTCCCAGAACGAGAGAGCCACCTTGCGCCCATCATTACCTTATATGGCGGACGGGAGGCGGTTAATTGCAGAATCTTGCCAACACCAAAGAACTGCGTACACCAGCTTGGGATGCTGCAGCGCATGGACGAGTTTGTGAACAATGTCCCTAAAGATGAACTAACACTTTAAAGGTAATTTCTTGGATACTTTTAAATTGTTGTAGATTGCAAAATACTTAAAGTGGAAGAAAAGCTTAACTCTATTTAAAACAAAAAATATTCCCTCCATCCTCCTCCTCCGCCTACCTATACTGCATATCCTGAATACAAAAGCTCTCTATATTTACCAATTTTAATCTGGTCCAGTCATATAATCTAGCAGCTCCAGCTCCCCTGTGTTTGCAAGCTGCTGCAGGGAAGAGGAGGAGCGCCAGCAATGGCTAGGCCATGGGAGCCTATGGGTGGTGGCATATGTCCCGAAAATGTACAGCCAAGCATTATCTTACACAGAGGAGCCAGAGCTACTGAATCACATGACTGGACTGAATGAAAACAGGTAAGGGTATGCATGATAAGTAGTAGGAAGGGGGAGGGAATGTTTCAAGTAGAATCAGGCATTCGCACATGGAAGGAAAATATATTTGAAATACATTTGAAAAATATTCTTCCCAAATATATTACCATATATTTGAAATGCTACAATTCTGGCCATATTCAATATATATATATATATATATATATATATATATATATATATATATATATATATATACACACATACACTGCATGTTGAAATGCATTTTTATTACAAAATATATGAAAAATATTTTTAAAAATACATTTCAAATATACTGCATGTCTTTAAAAATACAAATCTACATTTTTGGAATGCATTTACAAATATGTTAAAATGACTTTTTTATATGTTAAAATAAATCTGAAGAATATATTTAAAAAAAAATAATATAATATATTTTTTTTTGAAATATGTAAAAATATATATGTTAACATGATTTTTTATATGCTAAAAAAATCTGAAGCATATATTTAAAAAATATATTAAAATATATATTTTTAAATATATGCTTCAGATTTTTTTTAACATATAAAATTAAGTTTAAAATATATTTTTACATATATTTGTAAATGCATTCCAAAAATGCAGATTTGTATTTTTAAAGACATACAGTATATTTGAAATGTATTTCTAAAAATATTTTCATATATTTTGTAATAAAAATGCATTTCAACATGCAGTATATATATATATATATATATATATATATATATATATATATATATATATATATATATATATATATATATATTTTGAAATATATTGAAATATGACCAAAATTGTGGCATTTCAAATATATGGCAATATATTTGGGAAGAATATTTTTAAAATATATTTTGAACATATTTTTCTTCCATATGGGCTACGACTTAAAGAAAAACTCATGTACTGTATACTATGAAATATACAGTATGTATCAAGACTGAATTTGTAAACAGCTACCTAGCTATACTTTTGCCTTCCAAATAGTGTTTTCTATGAGAGGTGCACATTATGTTTAACTTCCCTATGGACAGTGAATTGAAAGAGAACTTCAGCTTCACCTGTTTCCCCCCTTCTCCTTCTGCCTCTAGTGCTTTATGAAAATTGTTTTATTTTTTTCATCCTTTCCTCCTCACTATGTGCCTCTGAATTTTCATTGAAGGTACACATTTCACTGACTATCAAGGAAAGAACCCTAGAGCCAGTTTCATGTGGATGAGAAGAGGTTAGCTGTAATCAAATAAGAAAGTGCAGCGCTTAAAATAATATATGAAATAGTCCACTTAAAATAAAATAAGTTAAATGCCAACTAAACGGTATTAGTCCATAGGTGACAATCTGTGCAGGTATAGGTGAAATAGCAGCAATACTTCAGTGCTGGTGCTCCAGAGTAGTGGGGTAAGAATATGCACTTACCAGATGCGTAATGTAAATACGCATTGAATCAATCAGTGGAGGTCCATGGTCATGCATACTAAGTAATGTGTAAGTGTAACACTTTCAGGTACTTATTGCCTCCTACAGATATCACAGTACTCCCCCTGACAATGCATCAATTTTCTTCTATATTAGGACAACACCGTCTTTGTTTAGGCATGAGTCAAGGTCACTACCTATTCCTGGGCAGAGACTTCATCACATCAATGATACATTTGTGTAAATACTTGTGCCTGTGAATTTTGCTTGCAGTTAGCAGCTGTTTATATATTGTTTCACCACTATTGTTCTGCTCACCAATGTCTGGCACAGATTAGTACACTGATGACATCATATCAGCTTAGGCAAAGCCACCAGACTTTAATGATAAAAGATGGAGATTTTCTGGAAAAATATAGGGTTGTATATTATGACATGCCAGGAAAGTATTCTTGCAGACTTGTAAAGTTTCTGAAAGGTTCACTTTAAATATAGTGTAAGGTAAATTTTTGTTGTTTTGTTTTTCAATAAAGGGAAATTAAGTTTTGATTGGATAAAATGGGTTACTAAATTGATAAATGAGCCTGATAAACATAATTTAGAATCATACATTTAAAAAATATCAGTCAAAGACACAAATGAGATAACTGGCTGTTTATGAAATATTGATAAACAGAATGTATTTAACAACGCACACTAATTCATCAGGTTTGTTGTTTATAATATAATTATTTAACATAATAATTGGAACATAATTATTTATGGACAGGGATATATCTAACATGTACTGTATGTACCAAGAAGGTTCTTTTTGCATATGTAACGATTACATATAGAAATCTTTGCAAGCTATCAATTTTTTGACAGCAGAATTTTCTACTCTGTAGTTACAACCAGATACACAATTTTGGCACTTCTTTTTTTCCTATAATGAACATAAAAATAATCATACCAATAAAATTTACAAAATGAGTCTCAGTTGGAAAGTGGAAGGTATCCTTCATTTGATATGCTGCAGTTATCACTCCTTTGTGCTGCTTTACCACTACTCATAAATGGTGCTCATACTCCTACCTCTTCTCATAAAATGTGTTGAAAGAATATCAAGGCATAAATAGGACTCCAAAGTGCATCAATCTTTCAAATGCTTCTTTAAAACAGCTTTATTGAATGACTTGCAAGAACAAGACAGCTGGTTTGTGGACACTTCTTAAAATTCCATTTGTGAAATATGTTATTTTATTCAATAGTCTACTATTGCTCAATTTTAGGACCACATTAGGAGTTGTATAACTTTCAATACCCTTGATCCAAATGGGATTATGTATAATGGCTAAACCATCAGTTTAAACTGATAATATTGTTAAGGTCTTTACATTCATAAATGTCTAATGTTGGATATTTATACTGATATGAACTGGGTAATGTGTTAGGAACGTAAGAATGCCCCATTGTTTGATGGAAATGAAAATTATCAACCTACAGAGGACTGAATTCAAAGACACCCTAAAAATCAAAGTGAAAAAATTATGCAGCAGGCTAGTCAATTTTGCTGAAATGTCATTGCAGCAACTCAGAATGGTACTCAGTAGTTTGTATGGCCCTCATGTACTTGTATGCATGCCTGACAATGTCAGGGTATGGTCCTAATGAGATGACCGATGTTGGTGTCCTGGGGTATTCCTCCCAGATCTGGACCAGGGCATCACTGAGCTCTTGGACAGTCTGAGGTGCAACCTGGTGGCATTGGATGGACCGAAACATGATATCCCAGAGGTGTTCTATTGGCTTTAGATCAGGCGAGCGTAGGGACCAATCAATGGTATCAATTCCTTCATCCTTCGGGAACTGCCTGCATACTCTCACCACATGAGGATGGGCATTGTTGTGCACCAGGAGGAACCCATGACACACCAGCATAGGGTCTAACAATGGGTCCAAGGATTTCATCCTGATATCTAATGGCAGTCATGGTGCCATTATCTAGCCTGTAGAGATCTGTGAATCCCTCCATGGATATGCCTCCCCAGACCATCACTGACCCACTACCAAAATGCTTGTGCTGAACGATGTTACAGGCAGCATAATGTTCTTCATGACTTCTCCAGATCCTTTCACATCTGTCACATGTGCTCAGGGTGAACCTGCTCTCATCTGTGAAAAGCACAGGGCACCAGAGGCGGACCTGTCAAATCTGATGTTCAATGGCAAATGCCAATCATGCTCTGTGGTGCCTGACATTGAGCACAGGGCCCACTAGAGAATGTTGGGCCCTTAGGCCACCCTCTTGAAGTCAGTTTCTGATTGTTTGGTTAGAGACATTCACACCAGTGGCCTGCTGGAGGTAATTTTTTAGGGTTCTGGAAGTGCTCATCCTTACACAAAGGAGCAGATACCGGTCCTGTTGATGGGTTAAGGACCTTGTATGGCCCTGTCCATCTCACCTAGAGTAACTGCCTGTCTCCTGGAATCTTCTCCATGCTCTTGAGACCTTCTGGCAATGGCACATATTGATGTTGGACTGCCTATGAAACCTCTGTAGGGTCCAGGTATTGCCTCATTCTACTGGTGGTGAAACTGATCCTAGCCAAATAAAAACCTAGTGAAACATTGTCAGAAAAGATGAACAGGGAAAAAAATGTAATTTGCCTCCACCTGTAAAACCATTCCTGTTTTGGGGGTCATCTCATTGTTGCCCATCTAGTGCACCTGTTGTTAATTTCATTAACACCAAAGCAGCTGAAACTGATTAAAAACCCCCTCTGCTACTTAACTGACCAAATCAATATCCCAGGAGTTTAATTGACTTGATGCTATACTTTGACTAAAAAGTGTTCCTTTAATTTTTTTGAGCAGTGTATGTTTTTATCTATTGAACCATTTTCGGACCAGCTCCTATTGCTTCTAGTTCTAGTCTAATGTTTTTTCAACATCAGTTAACAAGAATAGAACTGGGTACTTCTCTCCCTTAACTTTATGCAAAAGAAGTAGTGTTCTCACCCCATTATCTCTTCCTTCCCTCCCTGGGATGAACCCAACCTGATCTGTGTGCATCCACTCAGGCATCAAGCCTTTCAACCTAATAGCTAAAATCTTGGCATATAACTTTGTGTCTACATTTAACAATCGTATTGGTCTGCAACTAGAACATTGGGTTACATCTTTTCCTTCTTTGGGTATAAATGTAACATACGTGAGCAGTGATTCCCTCCTCATTTCAGCCTCTTCACCCATGATGTTCATATATATGAGCATAGTTTTGACACTAGTGGTTTCTTGTAATATCTAACAGAGTACCCATCTGGCCCTGGGTTCTTCCATGTTTCTGTACCTTTTAATACTATATTAATCTCTTCTTGTGTTATAGGTCTCTCTAAAGCTAGCATTTTTTCTTCCGATACTCAATGTAAGCTAGCCTCTTTTAAATAGGCTTGCATCCTTTCTTTTCTTTTTAAATCAATTTCTTGCTGCCCAGTTGGTTTTAGAGATTATAGTGTACTATCATACTTTTGAAATACTTTTGCAATTTCTGGGGGTTGAGTATACCAACTCCCCTGAATTATTTTTAATTTTATCTATAAAATTTGCAGATTTACTTTTCTTTAATACTCTTTCCTAAAACTAGTGTATTTAGTAGTCTAATTATTTTTAACTAGTGAATCTAATAATCTATGTTCTACTATTATGTAATCTACTCTTGAATATGTCCCATGCACAGAGGAATTGAATGTATAATTTTTTTACTCTAGGATGTTGAACTCTCCATATATCTATCAGTTGACATTGATATAATTTCTTCTTAATCATCTTAAATTGGTGATTCCTAATCCCCTGTGCATGTGATGAACGATCTGCCTGTAGATCCATGCAGAAATTGAAATCCCCTGCCAGGATCAATTTACCTGTCTTTAAATCCATACGTTTTCTCAAGACTTCCTTCATATACACTATTGGGTTCTTATTATACATAATTGCTAGTGTACAAACCATATCATATAACCTTACCTTCAAAAACAAAAATTGATCCCCAGGGTCTACCTTCTTCTCTTTTATAGTAAATCGTACATCTTTTGCCATCCCTATAGTGCCCTCCTATGCTCTTCTCATTGTGGAATCCCCATAGTACCATATAATAATAATAATAATATTATTTTGATTACAATTTCACTTTTGTACCATGTAAAATGTGTGTCTTGCATAAATTCCACACTTGCGGAATACTGTTAAATTTCCTTAAGAATCTTATAGCTTTTAACCGGGTTATTTAAAGGATAAGTTCACCTTTCATAACATGTTACATTTTACACCCATATTCAGGATGCAACATGTAACATGTTATGAACAGACCGACCCAGCTCCTCCCTGCTCCCTATTGTAACAGGGATCTTCTCCTCTCTGCTAGCTGTCACAATTTTAAAAATAACATGGCCATACATGGTTCCACCCACCCACCACATCATTCATTCACGGTGTTCTGTGAATGAATGAACTACGAGTCCCGACAGCCTTTGCTGTAGTGTGCTGTGGTAGCTTATTCATTCTTCCTGTCAGTATATCTGCTTGGCTGTACATTCCATTTGGGCAATTAGTTATACCGACAGGTCTGCAGGAGACCTGCATTGCACCAGCAATCTGCTGATCACTGGTGAAATGCTTTAGAGGCTCCAGAAACAGAAAATAGTAAATGCACATTTTTTTTTTCTGCAAAAAAGTGTATTTAATTATTTTTATAAAAAGGTGAACTTATCCTTATTACCCTCACGTTATAGGTTAGAAAAGTAAGTGGAGTCATAGTGGGTACCTACATATTGCATCTTCCTTCCTCTACCCTCACCTGAGGGTGTAGATAGAGGAAGAGCGCACAAACCTTGGGAATTACCTCAATAAATAGTGACTAATTTTATTAATAAGGAAATATAACTAAACAGGCTGAACTGCTGTAATACTGACACTCAGTGGCTGAATATCTCCTTGCCATGGGAACTCTGCCATACTGAAGTTTCTATCTGCCAAACCCAGCTCTGATGAAGAAGGGAGCACCCTTCGAAACGCGTTAGCCTTCATACCCCCCCCCCCTTTTTGATTTACCTGTAACCCTGTTTGGATTATGGTTACTTATGCCTGTTATACAATCATTTTGTGAGTATATTTCCTTATTAATAAAATTAGTCACTATTTATTGAGGTAATGCGCAAGGTTTGTGCGCTCTTTGTTTCATCTTCCTCTACAGTTTTATTAAGCTTCCCCAGCTTCATGATAGAGCTGCACAACCTCTGATCACCAGTGGATGAATACACAACACGCTGCTTGTCACTAATGCCTGTTTGATCTGAGTCCTTGAGCGCAGGAGATAATGGATCTTTGGTGTAGATAGAGGATCAGGGATACAAAGAAGGAAAGTCCAAAAAGAAACTCAGGGATACTTTCTTTCTCCTCCCTCCCTCCTTCCTTTCAGGGAAACCCCAACTGTATTGGATATTATTTATGTGTATCTGCTCCAGCAGAGGTCTAAGGAGCCCCTTCTTGCTAGTGTTTCAAGAGCTAAGTCAGGAAATATCTGAAGGGTTGCTCCTTCGTATTTTATTGGTGGCATTCCTCTCATCTCCCATATTTATAGTCAACAGTACTGCTCTCACTGTGACAAACAGCTGCCAAGTCACTCTTCCCAGAAGTCCACTGGTCTGATGTCAGCATAGCTTAAGTGGTTTTAAACTCTTACATATACACAGTGAAGTGACTAACCTCAGGTGATACACAGAGATGAAAAAAAATCATATTACACACAGTACATTGTACCTGTTTATCTAGAGCTGTCTTCTCTGAAAAGCAGGGGGTGGGGAGTTAAAGTTACACTCAGCAAGGAGAGCTCTGAGAGCTGATTGGAGGGAAGAGACAAACTCCTCTTCATACAGCACACAGGAACAGAGCTGAGGCTGTAAATAACAGGCTGTGCCCTCCTCTTTCACCATTTTTTTCTTGGTGTCAGGAAAATCATTTAGAAGTGACTCATTCTGATAGCAGAGGAACAAGGCAGCAGACAGGATTGACACTTAGTGCTCTGGAATTAGACAAGTAAATACTATAGGGGGGAATGTTCATATTTCCCATCAGAGGTTTAAAACCACTTTAATTATTTGCACATCCTTTATTTTAGAGATCTAAGCAGGGTTTATGCCAGAATTAAAAGCAAACATATTTTTGGTGGTTAGTGTGTGTGTTTAGAACTCTGGAATCATGCCTATGGCAACGGTAACCCTACATTCAGTACCAAAATCCCTGATAAAGAAGATAAAATCTTCCTGTCAAAACAGGGTTATCAATAAAAAGTCTAAGATGAACAAAAAATGGCCTACATTTCTCTAGATATCATAATACACTATATTGGCAAAAGTATAGGGGCACCCCTAAAAAATCATTGGATTCAGGTGTTAAAATCATCTCCATTGACACAGATGTAAACAAAAAATTTGTGAAAGAATGAGTCCCTTTCAGGAGCTCAGTGGCTTCAAGCGTGGTACTGTGTTATGTTGCCACCTGTGCAATAAGTCCATCCATGAAATTTCCTTGCTACTAAATATTCCACGCTCAACTGTTAGTGGTATTATCGCAAAGTGGAAGCAACTGGGAACAACAGCAAATCAGCAATAAAGTGGTAGGCCACGTAAAATGACAGAGTGAGGTCAACGCATGCTGAAGCACACAATGCGCAGAAGTCACCAACTGTCTGCAGAGTCAATAGCTAAAGATCTCCAAACTTCCTATGGCCTTCAGACTGCCACAACAACAGTGTGTAGAAAGCTTCATGGAATGGGTTTCCATGGCCGAGCAGCTGCATCAAAGCCTCACATCACCAAATGCAAAGCGTCGTATTCAGTGGTGTAAAGCACACCACCACTAGACTCTTGAGCAGTGGAGACTTGTTTTCTGCAGTGATGAATCATGCTTCTCTGTCTGGCAATCCAATGGACATGGCTGAGTTTGGCGGATGCCAGGAGAATGGTACTTGCCTGACTGCATTGTGCCAAGTGTAAAGTTTGGTGGAGGGGGGATTATGGTGTGGGGTTGTTTTTCAGTGTTTGGGCTTGGCCCCTTAGTTCCAGTGAAGGAAACTCTTAAGGCGTCAGCATACCAAGACATTTTGGACAGTTTCATCGAACTTTGTGGGAACAGTTCGGGGATGACCCCTTTCTGTTCCAACATAACTGTGCACCAGTGCACAAAGTAAATTCAGTAAAGACATGGATGAGCGAGTTTGGGGTGGAGGAACTTGACTGGCCTGCACAGAGTCCTGACCTCAACCTGATATAACACCTTTTGAATGAATTAGAGCGCAGATTGCAAGCCAGGCCTTCTTGCCCGACATCAGTGCCTGACCTCACAAATGCGCTTCTGGAAGAATGGTTAAACTGTTCAAAAGCCACACTCTTAAACCTTGAGGACAGCCTTCCCAGATGTGTTGAAGCTGTTATAGCTGCAAAGGTGGGCCAACTCAATATTGAACCCTACTGACTAAGACTGGGATGCCAATAAAGTTCATGTGCGTGTAAAGGTAGGCGTCCCAATACTTTTGGCAATATAGTGTATATTGTCTGCTGAGAACCTAAAGTTATTACTAAACCAAATGCTTAAAAATGTTCTGCTTAAAATAACGCAATGACTACAATTTATTGATGTCACTCTACATACATTTAGCCAGTTAAACATTTATCCAAAAATAAATGACCTACAAAATTCAGCTCAAATTTACTCTTCTATCCAGTGCAAAAGAGCATTCTGCATATCAGGTACCATGGCGAAATGATTAACAAGCTGACAGACTTTTTTTTAGACAAGTTCTATGCTAAAGTTAGGTTTCTTGAATTTTAGGTGAGTAGCCCAGAGACATCCCCAGAGGTTATTGCCTGCAAAACTTTAATCATTAGTACCTTTAGGATGTTTTAGTCTCTACTGAGTAAGGAATGAATCTCATGGGTGCCATTTTCTGACACTTGTTTAGTGCCTTAAGATACTGCAATAATTAAATAGTAACTTCTAATGCAGTACTAATAAAGACAAGATTGGGAACTTGGAGCATATATGAAATATTTAATGATTCTGACTTGATATGCCAATTAAAACCACATATATCTTATAAAAACCACATATATGTTTGATAGAAATTTGCCAATTAATAAGGAAATGCCTATGTAAGGCCTACCCACAGCATGAACAAATATACATTTGTTATGTGATTGTCAGTCAATCTAGTAGTGATTTTTGTATTTTTAAAATGATAGCATTCCTTTATTATTCAAATCATAGTAATGCAGAGCTACTGACTTTCAGCATTCTGACTGTTCCAAACAAGTTATTGGTAAACCTTTGCTACTATGTGTGTATGAGCTGGGACATTGATGGGCTTCCTTGTCTTACTCTGCCCCTCCTCTGACCCAGAAATAACTTCTCTACCATCAGCAAGAGCGAACCAGACGGAAAGTAAATAGGAACCTTACCATATAACGCCTCACTAGGCAGAAAAAGGGTGCTATGTTACATAATGTGCACTGGGAAAAGATAGACTTCTTTCAAACAAACGTTCCAATCTGGTCCGCCTGCCCGTTTTTCAGGCTGACCCGAATGGAACCTCCATTCTTTATGGATTGGTGGGTGTAAACGGACATGTGTCCGCTTACACCCGCCAACATCCGATCCAATTCGCCAAAAAGGTACGGATGGCGATTCAAGTCCTCTTCCGTCCATCGGATTGAATCGGATGAAAACGGACAGGCTGTCCATTTTCATCTGAATGCCCATTAAGGAGAGCAAACAGCTCTGTGACTGCTCTGCAGCAGCAGAGCAGACACAGAGCTGTCACACGTTTGCTCGGCGGGGATCAGTGGAAAGATCACTCGCTGAGCAAGCGAATACGCTAAACGGGTAAAAGGACCTACCTTATGAGGAAGAGTGCCTAAAAGCCACTCAACTTGATGCAAGTATGGTCATACTTATTACAGCAAACCTTTCATTTGCTTTGGTTAAAAATAAATGCATCACTGTTAGAAGCATAACCACAAGTATTGTAAACTTACTTCGTTTTAGAGTCCATCATGTACCCAACACATGATCTTAATTATACAGGGCTTGTACAAAAATATGGCAACACTACATGATTTGCATGTGTGAATGGAATTATATGTTTCGTGTTGAAAGTGGAAGTGATGTAAAATTCTTTTGCTTCCACTGTGTGATGAGACACCTAGCTAACAGGTGGGAAGCCTCACTTTCATCATTCACTGCATTCACTGCTAGCAATACAGTCATGTCAGAGCTTACTGAGTTTCAAAAAGGGCAAATTGTTGGTGCTGGTTTAGCTGGTGCAACACCCATAAATTGTGGACAATCAATTAATGGAAGACTGTAATATAGTCCGATGAATCAAGCTTCACACTTTTCCCAACCACCAACATTTTTAAGTGTGGTAAACACCGTCACAAGCTTACTATCAGGGCTGTCATGTGCCAATGGTACAGAATAGTGGAGGCACAATCATGGTTTGGCAGCCAAATCTTGGCATTCTGCAAGCCACATCATCACCTTGAAAGGTAGAGTTACTGCCAGTGTCTATGTACAAATTTTGGCTGATCATGTGCATCCCATGGTGCATATGTTGTTTCCCGAAGACATTTACCAAGATGATATTGCTCTGATATACACAGCTGGTGTTGTCAAATCATGGCTTGATGAGCATGCAGATGAATCTTGCACCTTCCCTGGGCACGACAGTTGACGAACCTCAATATCATAGAGCCACTACAGTCAATTGTGAAGAACAAGGTTCGGGATCATTTTCTGGAATCTCTGCAAGAACTGGAATGCTTTTTGCTTGAAGAATAGTATCAGATTCCACTATCCACCATCCAAGACTTATTTTGGTCAATTCCCAAAATAATTCAGGCTGTCTTGGATGCCAAAGGAAGTCCAACACCATATTAGGTAACAATTTTTTGTTATTTTACCTTTTTTTTATAATTTTGTCCAACTCTTGTATGTGACAATAAGAGATTGTCCTCTCCCAAACAATTGTTCTATCCAGATGAGGTAACCAAATCAGAAATTATTTAGAACGATTCTGCCTTTTTTAAATTAATCTTTTTTCAGGAATAAGGATAACAAAGGAATGGACAAATTCAGTAATATAACATGGTTCCAACTCCACATTTGGTGCTGTAAGTGTAGCAAGGCTCAGTGCCCAGCAACCATGTATATAATAGGCAGTTTTTCTTATTACACCCTCTTAGATCTGATGGCTTATAAGAGGATGCTTAGCAGGCATTGACATTCCTGCCTGAATATGGAGGTGTGCACAATGAAAATATTTTTTTCTAATTAATTTGTCAAATCAGCCATTTTGTTTTGTCATATGTGTTATGTTACAATGATCCATTTTCGGAATTCCTTTCATATATTCTAATTTGTTCAGTATATTCATTGTTACTAATTGATTAGTATCTTAGGATGTTATTTTGAAGGATTCTGAATCGTTCAGTATGTTGTTATGTTATTTTAGTGACTTTGATATAACTTACTTGTGACTTTCTTGCGACTTCAATGCAACTTTCTTGTGACTTTGATGTTTTGCAACTTGACTAATCATACCAATATAGAGTGTGAAGCATATTATTGAACTTACAAAATCCTCTGAATCCACAAGCAAATTAAACAAATGAATTAGTTGTTTTTGTTTTAATTTATTTTGTTTTATTTGTTGAAATTTGTTACTTTTGTAATTCGGAGATTCAGATACACCTAATTCTTAGAATGACAAAAATTTGTCATGAATTTTAATTTGTACTGAAACAAATCGCACATGTCTACCTAAATATGCTATGCAAACATAGCCTCAAAGCCTGCACTGAAAGATAATATATATGTATACATACTCATAAACTGTACCATACACATAGATGCTTACACACAAATACAATCTAATTTCAGTCTCACATATTGGTGGAATGAGCAGAATAAAAATATCCTTGGGGCATCACCCCAAAAACTTTAATGATCAATTCGCAAAATGCATCAAATGATATGACAATTTATTGTCAGGATGCATATTGTTACAATATTGCAACTATTTTATCTTGCTGTTTTTATTGTTTTTGCTGCACATTTATCCTTCCTTGCTTGTTTGATTATTTTTTATGGTATCTCTACATATGATATCCTGGGAGGCATAAATAAGAGTCCCTTTTGAATCTTTCTGTTTTTGTAATTGTATACAAATACACATACACAATATATTTATACATACTCACAAAAAAAAAAAAAAAAAAAAAATATATATATATATATATATATATATATATATATATACATGTATGTATACATAGAAAGAATATAAAGACTGCAGCACTCAATGTTTTTGTAATGGATGGCAGTGTTTCAGAATGAGTAAAGGTTTTGGGCTTATATCAGCTCTTTATCAGGCTATAAAGATCACATCTAGTATCAAAATAATAAGTAAAGTAATGTAAACAAACAGGGACCAAATGCAGCATAAATTGCAATATTTTTGCCATATGTTAATGGACTTCAGTGAACTAGCATAAATCATAAAGAGGCAAGACAACAAACTATAATCTCACTGATGCAAGATGCATAGTAGAAACAGATGATGTAAATAAAATGTTATCATTCAAGATGGTAAGTAATTTTTCCACAATAACCTAGAACAAAAAAGGGACAACCAATGTAACAACAATCTAAACTGAGTTTCCACCCCAAGGCGGGAGACTATCTAGGTCAGGGGTCTGCAACCTTTAAGACATAAAGAGCCACTTGGACCCATTTCCGAGAGGGAAAAAAAGACTGGGAGCCGCAAAACCATTGCAACATTTAAAACAAATCCGACACTGCATATATTGCA